CCTACTAGGGATTCACCAGAATTTCAAACAATGATTCGACCAAATGGAACTATTATCGAACTTGGGTATGCGATTAAGAAAAAATTTGCAGACGAAGAACAAGTTACACATTTAAAAGAAATTTATGGAATGTTACGTGTAAGTTCGAAATTTTCAAAAATTTCACCTTTTTTAGGATACGCTCTAACTATTTATTCCTAACTATTTATGTAGGCAAATGATATTAGGTTTTCCGACAAATTAGAACATTCATCTACACATTCTATTAATTTGTCGCCACGTGGAGAACAACGAGAACCAAATGATCTCAAAGAATTACTGCAAGCATTAATTTGTATACTAACTTGTTTGAAGGTAGAGTTTGGTAATATTTTCAATATTACGTATACATATTATATTTATACATTTTTATAATGTTCAAGCAGGGTATGCATGAAATTAAGCCCAAACCGATAATGCACAGAGATGTTCGATGGCCAAATATTATTCGCCATTACGACGGATATCAAAGATTTATTTTAATTGACTTTGACTATGCTGGCTTTTCCCCTTCTGATGGACCTTTAGAAGAATTTTCTAAAAGTGATCATGCTCCTGAAATGCTAATTAAAAAGCATGATTTTAAGGTTGATATATGGGGCGTTGGAAATTTAGTTAATTTGTGTAATGTCACAGGCATTCCTCATGAACTTTTAAACTTCAGCATAGATTTGTGTAATAGTATTCCAGATAATCGACCAACTGCTTCAGTTGCTCTCGATCGGGCAAAAAATATGTTTAGAGAGGTAATTATTTATAGCCGATTAATATATATTTGTTTTTTTTGTTTGTCTGCAATAATCTTAACAAAGTTTAAAATTTTAGTGGTTTCCAAATGATGATTGGCTAGAAAGGATCGAAACTGCATAACGCATTTGGGCCAACTTAAATCTGTAGTAAAATTATTGAACTTTATTAACTAAGCAGGGTTAGAAAAATAAAATTAGCATATTAATAATAGAATAATTATTTCACTAGGTGCCTTGGGTTCTTATTGTGAATATATTGTATTTTTATGTTCGAAAAACTGAAGCCTGCCCATATTTCGGGCTTTGTATTTAGCATGTGCTTGGTGTGACGGAATATTTCAAATTTCACCTATATAATCGCTTTTACTTTTGCTTGTGTATTTCGAGATTTTATTGCATCGGTAAATATGACCGTTATTACTTTTGAATGTATACTTCGAATTTTATTCGATGTTTTGATATCGATGCTACATATGATCGAAAATCTTTCTAGTAAAAAATAAAACACTACCGCAAAAATTGTTTAGCAGAAGTAGATCAAATTGTTTTGATATTTTCTAGATGAGAATGTTTTATATTTTTGTTTTGTTTTTTGCTGTACAAGTAAAGCAGGCCGATTTCGTATGTATTCTTACCGATGTATACTAACCTACATATGATCGAGAATTTTTAAAAATTGGAATGAACAAAATGTTTTTATTTGAATATATTCGTATTTTATGTAAAACAATGGCAGATTCACAAACTACAATTGCTTCGCTAAGAGAATTAAATTCTAAACTTACAGTCGAGATTACCGAACTTAGAAAGAAGTATGCTAAGATTGAAGCTGAAAATACAAAGTTAAAGCAGATTATGGAAGAGAATACTGAATTTAAGACTAGGTTTGAGGAACAAGATAGGAAAAATAAAACAGATATTGCAAACCTTATAAACGAGAATACCGAACTCAAATCTAGGGTTTCGAAATTGGAACAAAAGTTATCACATAATGACGAAGAAAAAGGTGCCCCTATTGCTAAGTTAGATGATGATACTGCATCTTACAAAACGAACTCTGATGATACCCCCGAACAGATAAAAAATATATCTAACAATATTTCTAATTCTGATATATTCCGTGAGTCGAATATTCAATATTCTGAACCACTTATTCATACAGAGTCTGAATCTTCTGAAAATAAAGAGATCAAATTTCTCAATCGAGTACATAGAGAAACTGTTAGCAATGAAATAAAAGAGAGAAATCGGGAAAAGAAGCTTCAAGCCCAAAACTCTTTATCATATAATAAAGATAATTCATCATGTGATATAAAAACCGTTTCCCAGGGAAACGATCGTAATAATATTGAAAGTAGTGTAGATATTGCTTCCCAAATAAGCAATCAGCAAAAAACTATTCCGAATACTCCTTTACCGGCGGAAGATCTTGATAATTCTGATGAAATTGAGCTTACTAAAAATCAAAATATAGAACTAGATTTAATCCAAGATTTACGGAATTGTATGCTTATTGTTTCACCTGATCCTATAGAAATACCTTTCGAAGACATCGCGGATAGTGAAAAGCCATCCTCTAAAATTACAACACAAAGCTTAATCCATTTATTTAAGAAAGCAATAAGATCTGGGCATCAAGAAATTTTATCCTGGATTTGCTATTCAGATAATTTTGAAAATAAAGTTATTGAAATTCGACATAAGGCAGGAGTTAACGATAAAACTGCAAGAACCCAAATATATAAAGAAATGTTAGAACATTTACCAGGCGTTACATCGGTTGCCTTGCGAATTAAAACTCTTAGGGCCAGAAAAATTCGTAAGCTATTTGGAGAAAATGGAGTTGGAATTGATAAGGTTAAGTATGTCACCTGCAGTGCAAATGATATTTCAAAATTAACCAATGCACAAATTCAAAACATTATAAATCAAGTAACCTCAAAAACCGTTTCCTTGGGAAACGATCAAAATCATGTGACTGAAACAGAGGCAAGTATTACAAACATACCCTCTATCTTGTTGTCTCATACCTCTAATTCGGAATATATGATAAGTAAGGATAAGAAATCTTTACTAGAGACTAAAGTAAGTGTATCATCCAATCCAGCTCATAGCCATGCTTATTTCCGTAATAAAACATTGGATCAGTATCCTAATTTATATCGAGAAGGTAGTGATGGAAACGACGATTATTATGGAATTACTGATGAATCTTTATGCCCGCTATGCAAGTTAGATCATGATGATGATAATGGTATAGGAGGCAGATATGAAGTTGGGGAATCAGAGAATCGATGCTCTGCATCATCCTACTATATTAAATGTGAACAGCGTGGAATTGAAATTGAGGTAACAGCATGAACTTTAAACTTATACTAGCACAATTCGCTTAAGTCTTCTGAGGCATATTTATTTTTTTGTTGGTTATTGTATTGTGAAACAATGAGCTTCGCTCTAATTTAGAAAGATGTGCAGTCATATACATAAAACGGGAACATGGATACACAGGCAAAAGCTAATAAAACATTGACTCCTGAATATTTGGAATGGGAAGCTAAATTAACAGAATTGCCAGGTATTTTGACAGATAAAATTCGTTCTAGGTTATATAAAAGGTATAAGAATAAAACTGGATTCGATCCCTGGATAAACTCTAAAACCTTTGAGTCCCCACAAATCGAAAAGGATGCCGAAAAAAAGACGTTATTTGTACCGCAGATAAATGTTCAGCCTACACTATCCAAACTTCGACCATCAATTTCTATTCTACCTAAAGACCCGGAAGAGAAACAAAAACATGTTATTAAAATAGTATTAGAGCGATTTCCT